CTGTCTGTGGTCCAGAGACACCTGTCTGTGGTCCAGAGACACCTGTCTGTGGTCCAGAGACACCTGTCTGTGGTCCAGAGACACCTGTCTGTGGTGCACAGCAGCATATTACTCTGCGTTTCTGTGTATTATTGGTGGTTTTTGTAGCCGTGGCTTCATGTCAAGTTGTACAGATTGTCTGTAAATTAGACAGGTATTCCCCCATTTTGYATACAGACCTTTAGGACTGACTTATAGATTTTTTTTATTATGAACTTATTACATTCAGAGCTGGCAGCCTCTCCCTCTCTGCTCTTTCTGCCGCTGCGGACTCTGCAGTCAGCACCTCAGACGTAACAGGAAGCTGTGTTTGCYGCTTTGTCCCAACGAGGAAAACTCCTGTAAATTCAGCTGCAAACCACAAACAAAGCCACAACAAACCTTAAATCTGAGGACATATTGAGGAAGGTTAGCCTTCTCAGCCTCGTCTTCTTCATCCACGTCTTCTTCTTTCTTGTTTTCTTCCTGGCCTGACTCCTCCACTGACTCCTCTACTGACTCCTCCCCTGACTCCTTTCCGGAGTCGTCRTCCGTCTCCGAGGTGGAGGACAGCTCCTGCAGCAAGTCGCTCATGTAGTCGAGCTGAAAAACATCGCAAACCCAAGCTGACAGTTAGAACCTKAAACATCTTTATCATAAATATTCTAATGAACTTTTCTGCTCTTCAAATATTTGATCACAGAGCAGAAATGACGCAAGAGGCTAATTATTCCTCCAGACCTCAGCTCTTAATCTTCGAAAAAAGGATGATTTACTGTGACCCGAGGCAGCAGTCACCAGAACCTGAGATGTAATACATCCTCTCTGTCTCCCTGTCTTATTTTCTCTGTCTCCATTATTGCTGYGCCGCTGTCGCAGTGATTCTCACGAACACCCTCTGGGCTCCAGGCTCCCTCAAAATCTCATTAACCGYGGACAAAGCTGAACGAACTATTGAACTGGACACCGCGGGCCGGATTAAAGGCACGACAACCAGCGGTGTATACGTGCATACATGTAAAAATAACAACAGTACAGCAGCATGTGTTCAGTCTGAGCAGATTAAACCTGTCTGGAGATAAACAAGTCTGTCTGCTGTGTGTGTTTATTTCATGTAGCACTCACAGTAAAGCAAAGACATTAAAAAATTAGCTCAAATAAGAAATGTTGTGTAAAATGTTTTTGTCATTTTTCCCCCACCATGTTTTTCTACCTGTACAAAAGCAAGCAAGGCTGCACAATGTATTGAAAATTTATCATCACGGTGACAACAGCTTATGCAATATGCATATCACAAAACATTGCAGGAACTGCAATAAATGATTGAGTTTCAGGATTCATGCAGGTTTCAGTAAAGTTAMATTTAAGACCTTTTAAGACCATTAGGAATGATATTTAAGACCAAAACGATGCATTAACAGTAACATTCAAATTGTCCCAGAAACTTTAACAATGAAATCTTTTATTGTTATCAATTTAGCTATTAAATAATATTTAATCTTAATACAAGAACACTAAATTATTTTAATGAAAYGGTCACATCTATGAGACTTTTATATCAACTGGTGTGGACCGCTTCCAACCGAGTGCAAAAATCACTGCTATCAAGCCAAGCCTCATTGAAAACACACTTTATATGTTTAAAGGACGAGCAGCGGACATGACTGAACTTCGTTATTTTCTGGGCGGGTGAAGAAGCCGTCGTGTGCAGTGGGTTAAGGCAAAGAAGACGAAAACATGTAAACTGTACTGTTTTTTTTTTTTTGCCTGCAGTATCACAGGATATGTAGTTTAACCCCATACCAAGACCGGCAGCAAACTTTATACATCATGAAGACAGATCACATTAACCTCTGATTACAGCTCTTTACTCTGTTTATTTATGCAGCCAAAGCTTCTCAGGAATGATCAAGAAAAAAAAAATCAAGACGACAAAATTAAAATTTAAGACCTGGGATGAAAATCTGGGCATTTTTAAGACTTTTTTAGGCCTAAAATTTTAATTTTCAATTTTTTTGACTTTTTTAGACTTTTTAAGACCCTGCACAAACCCTGGAGTTTTGACTCAGATGGAAGCTTGAAGTATTTCACGAATTAAATGGAGCCACTCATGTATGTGGCCAACTGGATGGATCTTCATATTTTTAAAAAATTAATGCTGGAATAGAAACCTTTTTTTTGTTGTTTTGCTCTGAACCCAGTGCAGAAAGACATCAGCACTACATACTTTTATATTTGTTGATTTATCACAAATCATATCATCATTGCAATATTAAGCACTAAAAACAAGTCAATCTAATGTGTCTGCAGTGTGTAGACTAAGCCAACTTTTTAAAATACATATATAAAAAGGGACGCCAATCATAAAAGAGCAACAAATACGAAAACGAGACAACATAACTCAAAAGAACAGGCAACATGCTGTAAATCTGGTCGATTGTTTATTTTTTGTTCTGATAACAATTCATCAGATCCAGACTTGTCAGGGGTGCTGCTGAGATTATAAAGAAGTTCATCCAGAAAACATCGACACATTTTCACAGCACTGCCCAACAAGCCGCAAATAATAAAACAGGGAAAGTTCACTTTATTAGAAGAGACTTTCAAAATTGATGCCTGTATATGAGGCATTTAGGGAGAGCGAGTCTTTAAGTCTGTTTTGTGAGAATTAAGTAAATCGTAGCAACACATGGTCCAGAACGGGTGCTGCAGGAAGTCTGAGGTTTACTGTTGCACTCAAAATAGCCAGCTGAGAATTTATTTATACAGCAGGCAGAACAAACACAAAACTCTAACAAGCTGATATTTGTGGATCAGTCCATCTGGTCGGTATCTGACAAGGCTAATGCTGATTTTCAAAATTGACCCTGAAAACTAGACTGACACATTACAGAAGTTACACATCCATAGTGAGTCCGGAGTCACTACTGGTTCATGTCTTTCTCCACAAATATAAACCTTTACATGAAAACAAACAATAGAAAAGTTTGTACACTCTTACTGTGTCTTTAGACAGTTTGATATCCCCAGAAGCTGCAGCAGCAACTCTCTCCATCACAGCCAGTGCCCGACCCAGATACCCTCGAACCCAGGAGAGAGGCATGCCTTTAAAAACGGCATTAATGCCCTTTAACATCTCCACCTTTCCTGCAAAAATAAAACGAAACAAGATGATAATTATTTTTAAAAATACTGCTGTATGAATCAGTTTGATTATTTTTAAAAATACTGCTGTATGAATCAGTTTAATTATTTTTAAAAATACTGCTGTATGAATCGGTTTAAATTGGAAAAGTGAGGTGAAGAAAACTCACCTTTGGGTTTTTTCACCTCTCCTGCACACTTCGTTTTATTTTTGTATTTACTTTTTTTTAGTTTTTTTTCTTTTGTGAGTGCAAATAAAAAACACAAATACAAAAATAATAAAAATATGAACACAAAAACCCACCTAGAAGAGCATTTCCAAGCAGCTGAGCACTGAGACCAACAGTGTTGTCCTGCTGCAGTCCACAGTGGAACAGCGACGCCCCCAAAGCCCGCTCTTCTGACACCTAAACAACAGGTTTGTTACTGATAACGCAACATTCCAAGAACAGTTTTCATTTGCTCCCTGCCCCAGCTAATGTTCTGCATTTTGCAGCACGAGAATATTCCTTTCACTCACGGTGAGCTGTGGTTTGGTTGCGAAGAAATGACTCAGAGCATACAGAGACAGGATCCGAGTGGAGGGAAGGTCGAAGGCCTCCTGAAGCATCACCTCTTCAACCACAGACGATGCACCTGAACAACCGCAGCAAATTATTGGTGTTTTTTTTCTTCTCAAAACCTATGCTAACAATGTTTTTCTTCTTGCTTACTCAAGTTTGTTTACTGCATCCGACAGAGGGATATAAGCATATTAAGTCAGCAAAAATGTTAAAAAAATCCTGCAGGTGTTTTAGTCTGCATAAATCTTTCACCAAGTGTTAAACACAAATGTTTGTGCAAACTGAAAACAGATTTCAAACTTACTTTTAAAGTCTCCATCCTTAATGTAGGAATCTATCAGCAGGTTGAAGGTGAAGTTGTCTGGAAATATTCCAAACTGGGTCTGCGCACACATTGCAAAACCATTTTTATATATTTTCATCTGCTGCCAGAAACGGTGGGTGATAATGTTAATGGCATTTAGTTTTAAGACTGTGATTTGGTWAAAAAGAATCTGCACTTCACCTAAAAAACATTAATGATTACACGTGGATCTTCAACATTAGCCCCATCTCTTATAATCACCTCTCATTTTAGAATGATTCAGACAATTAAATGACAAAAACATTCAATAAACTAAATTAATTCCAGGCTGAAAATGTCAAACATGGTTGAAGTTATTTATGCAGCTGAATTCTGCTGAAAGTTTGGAGGTGTGTACCTTGTTTTTAACTGTGTACATGGCCTTTTCTCTGRCTCCAAACTTCAAACATTGTCTGATCCAAGAGTGAATGGTCCAGTCTCGCAAGTACCAACAATTTGGACTGTGACGAAACCTTGAGAATTAAAAAAAAGACCCATAAGTGACAGAAAGAGATAAGATGACATGTCACAAGTCTATGAGCAAACATCATCTATGACGGATTTATTCTGAAAATTTAACAAATAAATTGAAGAGAAAAACTACAAAGAACTACTTAGTAACATCACAAAGTGGGAACTGTGTTTTAATTCCCACCTGATAATAAAAATAAACCTTCTCCTAACCAGGGGTGTGATTGGAAACAAACTAAAGCAAATGATTGCAAGAACAAGTGCAGATTCCAGAGGAAGGAGTAAACAGGAAAGGTCTGGAGTTGCCCCGAACAAAGACAACCATGTGACTGAACATAAACCAAAACAGACAAACCAAGCAAGGCAACTCATTCCAAGGAAAACACACAAGTTGGTACCAAAATGGGGGGGAAGAGGAAACAGCAGATATTCAGTGCAGACATGATGAAACTAAAGAGGGAAAACGGTTCCTCGTACTTGTACAGGTAGTACTCTGCTTGATCGACTTCCTCCCTGGATGTTATGCTGTCAACAAACTGAAATGGAGAAAAYGTACAAAACTTAAAGAGTTTATTTTAACCTGAAATATAAACAAAACAATAAATATAAAGCCCATCTAACAGCTTACCCKTGAAATGGTCAGAGAGCTGACCGGAAACGTCCTCTCATAAGTTTTATCCATGAACTTGGCCAGAACAGCTGGAGGTTAAAAAACACCAACAATAAAATTACATTATAGGAAATTCAAAAAAATTTATACGCAGAGATGTAAATGTGACCTGTCCAGTCACCAGGAAAGTAAAGAAACAGCACTTATTTAATCAAAAAGATGTACATCTCAAGTGTCACTAATCTTGTTCTTTTAGATATATTTACTGTAAATAAGCATGTTTAGATTTATACAAATTATTCCCGTTTTATTTCAGCAGATGCTGCCTAATAACAGATCCTGAAGCTGCAGTGCCACCCAGTGTTCACTGAGTGAAATAAAACTAACACCCAATGTTGGACTTCTGCTTGTATTAAATAATTGTCATATATTTATGACGGGTGTGTTGCATGTCATTAAGGATACCTGGGAATTACATTTGGTGTTTGATATACACTCCTGATCAAAATCTTAAGACCAGTCAAAAAAGTGCAAGAATTTGCATTTTGCACTATTGGATCTTAAGAAGGTTCTAAGTCAGGGGTTCTTAACCTTTTTTGAGGTACCGAACCCACCAATTTCATATGCGCATTCACTGAACCCTTTTTAGTGATAAATAAAATATGATTTTTTTTCCAAATTCAAGATATAAGTATGTTTTTTTTTTTTTTTT